ATTCAGGTTGATATGCCGTAAAACAAACAAACAAAGAATGGTTATTATTACCACTGCCATTATTAAAGATCGTTATTGTTGTAAGCCAGGGAAGGTTACAGAATAGAATAATCACACGAAGGTTGGCAATGAACTCAGGACACGAACAACACATATAAGATTCACCAGCGGCACGTAGAAGAATATATCAACCGCTAGAAGTGAATCAAGTGAATTCCACAATGAATCTCCAACTGCAGGATATCTACCAACCACCCTATTCGGTAAGATGTGGCATAAGGGCGAATTTAATGTGAAGTATCCGAGCCTGTGGGGGTGGCCAAAAATTCTTCGTAGATCCCGTATGAAACGGGGTCGGGTAGCTGATTCCCGACACGAGACTCTGCCCTTCGACATAGCCTCGTCTGGGGATCCTCTCTGTCCGGAGGTAGAGAGTTTGTCCAACACAACCAGGGACGAATCTCCAACTGAAGACCAACATACAGTATTTACTACTGTATTTATATGAATGGCTACATACGCATTATCGTCTGTAGGTATACTACAACAGTTTTTATAACCTTTACCATTATTTTATACAGTGTTTGGGCGATCAGATCTGTCTGGTACCTCTGAAACGTGTCCGTTGGCATTCAATTTGTTTAACCTAGTCTGGCACAGGTACAGAGCAACGTGTGACGATCGACCTCACTAAACAATAGTAATGATCTAGACAAGCTAGTTAAGTATTACAGCTAGCGAACCTATCAGTGATTACTAATAATAGCATCAATATATATTTTCTTTCTTTTTATGTGCCATGTCTTTTTAGGACATAGGCGATAATGGTTCTCCACCTCCCTCTATCCCTTGCCGCTCTAAAACAAGTTTCCTTCCCTCTGCTATCTCCCACAGACCACATTCTGTCATCCAACCCCGCCAGGAATGTCACGCGCTGCTTTCCCATGTCTCTCTTTCCCTCTATTCGGTCCGTAGGTGTCAGATTCTCAAGGCCCTCCTTCCTCATTATGTGTACCAGAAACTTCAGTTGCCTCTTCCTAATGTTAAGCATAATCCGCCTCCTTGTCTGGATCGTTTGCTCACACGCTCGGTCCGTGATATCCTTAGCACCCTTCTGTAGAACCAGAGAATTTTAAATCCAAATGACAATGTTTTTTTGTTTTTTTCCTTAATCCCTGCGACACACAGTTAAAAGTGGAACTTTCTTCTATAAAGATTTTTATTCTTTTAAAATGATTCCAGTTTTTGTTTTATTCTCGTCCGAAAGAGAAAGATCAAGAAAAACCATTTTGCGTGACATATCGAAATGGAATTTTATCCTGGATATTTTACGTCTGAATTTGATTTTACCGAGAAATTTAGTATCAAAATTGATTTTAGCCGATAAATTTTATATATGATAGGTCGATTTAGCTGGGAAGATTTTAATATCAGACATCGACGTTAGCTTAGAAATTTCACATATGAAAGCTCGGTTTTAACCGATAAGTTTTACTCAACAATCCTCGAACATAGCTGAGAAATTTTCCTTATGAAAATCGATTTTAGCAGAAATATTTAACATGATGGTGATGATAGAGTTTAACCAAGATATTTCACATATGTAAGCTCCATTTTAGCCGACAAATTTTACATATCAATCATCGAGTTTGTCCGGGATATTTCACACAGGAAAGATCGATTTTAGCCGAGAAATTTCACATTGAAGACGTTTGATTTTAACCGTGAAACTTCATATATGAAATGTTGATTTTAACGGCAGAATATTTCATATCAAACATCGATTTTAGCCGATAAACCTCATATATGAAAGGTCGATTTTAGCCAATAAATTTCAGAGCCAAGAACTTTTATATAACAGACATCGATTTTAGGGAAAATGGAGAAAATATTTTTTGCAATGTTTGATGATGTGCGATAAGCCACTTAAAAATTGTGCAACATTTAAAAATGGCAAACCTTCGTCAAATACTAAATTATTTAAAGTTGTTACATAACAAAAATTTAAAGGTAGTAAACATCTTAAAAATTTTGAAATATTTAAAAATTATAAAAACCATTTAGAATGCAATATGCTTAAAATCACAAATTGTTAAATATTGAAAAATAACAAGATATTTAAATGTAGCAAACCACTTAAAAGTTGTAAATTGTGTATAAATCCAAAAATATTTTTAATGTAAAATACTTCAAATTTGTAAATTATTTACGAATTGTAAAAATCTAGAATTATTTACAAATTCTAAAGTTATTTTTTAAAAAATTGAAAAGCATTTTAAAAATTGTAAAACAGTTAAACTCAAATTTTAAACTTTAAAAAGACAAAGTTTCTATTAATCCTTAACTGTCAATATATTTTATCATATTTTTATTTTTAAAAGAAATTTTAAAAAAATAAAATATCTCAAATAATTATAATATGCTACTCTTGGAAAAAAATCTCTTAAAAAAAAATAAAATTATATAGAATTATATCGGAATAACAATCAAATCAAACATTGATTTTAGCCGAGAAATCTCATTAGCCAATGAATTTTTTGAGCTGAGAACTTTTACATATCAAACATCGATTTTAGCCGGGGAAAATGGAGAAATATTTTCTGCGATGTTTGATGACGTATGCGAAAGTCATGCGTTATAATAACCCAGGATGCTATGTCTGGGTCTTGGTCAATTAAAAAAAAAGGTTTGGAGACCGGAAGTCTTACGTTTTAATCGAAGAATGTCAGTTTAAACAACTTTCAGACCACAATTTTATTCCAGAAATAAAACGCCTTTATTTTAAAATTATTTATTCGATTTGATTTCATCATTCTCCTCATAAAATATTTCAAATTGTGATTAAATCAAGGAACGGATTTAGTTTATGCTCACAATTTAATGGATTAAATTAATTGATTAACTATTCGCAGTCTAATGTGGCTCAAGGTTACAAATGTGAGATATCCAGTGGAAATTGAACACACTACAGCACTAATGTTCTTTAGAATTAAGATGATAACTTTTATTCAACAGAAATGCGTTATATATATATATATATATATATATATATATATATATATATATATATATATATATATATATATATATATATATATATATATATCAGTGCTTATCTATAAGAATTCTTACAGTGGTAATTATTCAAGTATTTTCCAAGGTACTGAATATTTTTTTAATTTTTCAGAGAGATTACTATTATGATTGGCGGAAGTAACCTTTCCTTAAATGAAAGACAACTAGTCACTTCATTCTATTAGGGTAAATTAGTAAAATGTCTAACGGAAAAATGCATTAACTTAATAAAAAAAAGTGTTTTACTTTCTTTTGTGTGTTAAAATAATTATTTAATTACAATGACGACAACTTCACATAGACTATGAAACACCCAGGGCCATAGCCTATATTCACGTAAAAATTTAGTTGAAATACATCCAGTAGTTTCTGAGTTTTTAACTGACAGACAGACAAACACTTTATTAATATAGATTATATGTTTTAGTTCTCATTCTAACAACAGATATATGACTTAGTGGGCCAAGCATTGGTTGAATTAACTGTTTCATTGAGAGTCGTGGTTCAATCCCTGGTTCTGTTAGTGCTTAAAAGTCACATAATATGATTTAAGTAAAAGGAATCGATAATCGATACAAAATGTATGAATGATGAGTATTCACTGGTATAAAGCATTCTCTAAGAAAATCAAAGCTAGATTGGCACACTACTCCCCGATATATATATATATATATATATATATATATATATATATATATATATATATATATATATAAATTCATGAATCATTCATAAAAAATAAATATAGAGGTTAATGATTTAAATCATTAACCTCTATATTTATATATATAAAAGTTACTCCAAAATTCGCTTGAAGATGAAATGGAAATAATGCTTTTAATTTAATTGCAAAATTAAATTCGGGGCTTTTAGCTTCCATTTTTGAAACATGGTTAGTAGTGTTTAGCGGAAAAAAACATATTTTAAATCAATTAATTTATAATATTACATTGAGCACTATTTTGTAAAAATAAAAATATCTATAAGAACACCGGATTATATATCTTACTGTTCGTTCTTTTTTATTTATATATATATATATATATATATATATATATATATATATATATATATATATATATATATATATATATATATTTACATCTCTCTCTCTATATATATATATATATATAGAGAGAGAGAGATTTTCTAAATTAATTGATTTAAAATATTTTTTCCGCTACACAGTTCTAACCATGTTTCAAAATGGAAAGCTAAAAGTCAGAATTTAATTTTGTAATTAAATTAAAGACATTAGTTCCATTTGTCCTTAATTTAATTACAAAATTAAATTCTGAGCTTTTAGCTTCCATTTTTGAAACATGGTTAGAACTGTGTAGCGGAAAAAACATATTGTAAATCAATTAATTCATAATATTAATGCTCTGTAAATTTACATTGAGCACGATTTTGTAAAAATAAAAATATCTATAAGAACACCGGATTATATATCTTACTGTTTTTTCTTTTTATTTATATATACATATATATATATATATATTCTATATTTGTTTTTTGTATAAATGATTCATGAATTTATAAATTATAATTTGCACCTTTAATTGAAATATATATATATATATATATATATATATATATATATATATATATATATATAGAAAGAGAGAGAGAGTCAAGCTAAATTTCTTACTTGGAATTATTAATAGTATACCATCCTAATTTATCGCAGATAATGACGATACAAGGATACGTGCCTGTACGCGTATAACCCTTTGGTAGGTAGGTAGACTTGGTTGACTACAAGAGACACGATAATATATAGATAGGCTTGAAAAAATGTGAGAGATAGAAAGATACATTAATAGACGTGAACGAACTGTGACGAGAACATAGATTGAACGAACTTGAAGATAGATAGACTTGAACGAACGGAAGGAGAAACGAAGATAGATGCACTTGAACCATCAGTGAGAGACACGTAGATAGATAGATAGATAGATAGATAGATAGATAGATAGATAGATAGATAGACTTGAGAGAACAGTGAGAGACACGAATATTGATAGACAATGAACTGAGAGGGAAACGTAGATAGATAGATAGATAGATAGATAGATAGATAGATAGATAGATAGATATGAGTGAACAGTGAGAGACACGAATATAGATAGACAATGAACTGAGAGGAAAACATAGATAGATAGATAGATAGATAGATAGATAGATAGATAGATAGATAGATAGATAGACTTGAGAGAACAGTGAGACACGAATATAGATAGACAATGAACTGAGAGGGAAACGTAGATAGATAGATAGATAGATAGATAGATAGATAGATAGATAGATAGATAGATAGATAGATAGATATGGGAGAACAGTGAGAGACGCGAATATAGATAGACAATGAACTGAGAGGAAAATGTACATAGATAGATAGATAGATAGATAGATAGATAGATAGATAGATGAAAGAACAGTGAGCGACACGAATATAGATAGACAATGAACTGAGAGGGAATGACACGTGAGAGACACGAATATAGATAAATAGACTGACAGGCAGTCAATAGATATGTTTGAATGTAATTGCGAGAAAATAATAACATTTCATAACTCTGTGTTGAGAGCATTACGAGTACGTTTGCTGACATATATGAAATACCATTGACCAACACATAAGCGACTACTATTTTATAAAACCAGGAGAAAATGTCTAGATAGTAAAACTACACAGGGAAGTTCCAATCTGATTATATTATTATTATTCGAACTATAGTTATATAGGTGATTCGGGTGATAAGATGGCGGTTAAGAGCATGGAGAACGGATCCGTCGAATCGTGTTCAAACTCCGGCTCGGACAATTGGCAATCACTTTGTACTCGTTAAAATCTCCGTATCTATAGATGTTATCGATCTGTAAAGACAATGCATCTTGTGCATTCACTGATAGGTCTCGGGTCATCATTCCTCGTCAATGATACGATATAACCAGATAAACCTTCGGATATAACTTGGTGAGAATATAGTGACAGCCTACAAGTAATACCCATTGACCTCACTCTAATAGGTAATGGGAAACGAATCGAATGCAACGTATACATAATATACTGAAGTCTTTGAATCTAGCACCACAAGGGTTGAAGCGATACTATAACACGTTGGACATGCCATATGGCAAAATAGATTGTCGATTCTCCTGTTCGGCGAAGTTTCCTCTGACCAGTGAAATATAGAACTATCACGGAAGTGATAGAGACACATTGTTAAAAGGAACCTTCATACGTTGCGGATGTTACTATCACCATTGGATAGAGAAGTATGGAAATATAAACCTGAGGTTTTTTGTTTTGTTTTTCAGGTAACCTCGATATAAGAAGCAAACCACCAAACTAGATCAGAAAGAAAGAGGAAAACTTTAAATCCAACGTTACTATACCTATCCCCGCACTGTTTATGAGAAAGCTTGTTTTTCTCGTTTAGATCTCTCCGGACTTAGACAGTATCTTCTCTTAAATGATCATAAAATATATATATATATATATATATATATATATATATATATATATATATATCAAATTTGTGGTGCAGTTCAATTTATATTACATGAATCATTCATACAAAAGGCAGATTAGTGAAGTTAATGATATAAATTGCGAGAATACATCTTCGCAAACAGATTTATTAAAATTATATTAACCTACGAACCTCTAGATGAATGTTATGATCCCTGTTGTTAATAAATTCAACTTGTATAAGGTCTTTTTTTGCTAGTACTTTCATCTGTTCATACAGACATCATCAGACATGGAAATTGATTTGTTTTTTTTAAATACATACATACATACATATATATATATATATATATATATATATATATATATATATATATATTTGTATATATTTAGACATCAGTTTTTTTATTGATGCAATTATACTTAAACATGAAAACAATAAACAAACCAATAAACAAAAATTTAAAATTCTTGAAGCTTTATACATAAAACAGTTGAAACCTAACCTGAACAAAATAAACTATGAAATCTCCACAAATATCTTTAAATGCCTATAATTTATAACAGAAGCCCTTGGTTTGTACCAACAGCTTCGCGTACTTAATACTTCTCGTTTTTCACTCTCGCGTGGTCATGTGTGACGTCACGAACTGCGACGTGATTTTCGCTTCTGCGTCTCGTATATACGAGTTTGTCGTTACTTGAAATGTTCATGCAGCAAGGGCGGACTATCATTGTTGTTTCGTTTGTTGTTGTTGTTTGATTTATTGAAATTGTCATCTTTGATAATGGCTTGTGTAAGCCGAAAGCTTAGATTGGATTTAAACATGTATAAATATGGTGTTTTCCTTTCGTCTTTCAACGATAATGTGATTAATCTTATCAGACAATATGAAAGGAACTTACTTAAAATAAATAGACAAAACTTGTCTATATTATTTAATGAAACATGCATTAATATATATATATATATATATATATATATATATATATATATATATATATATATATATGCTAGAAAACAATAAAATCCAAATTACCTCACATGGAGTATAGACTTTCAATCGACGAAAACTTCGTCAGTCTTAGTCAACCCCGATATACGGACTGAGTTCATGTCGGAATTAGAAATTTAACGGTGTGACCAGTCGAAAAAAATAATGCACCATATATACATGCCAATGTTTCAGTCAGACGAATGGCGCGAGAAGTGGTCAGAGGTGTGTGGAAGGTATTAGTCTTAAAGTGAAGAGCTTTTATAAAATTAAATCCGGATATTAACCTTATGACATTCAGTTTGGGTTATATGAAGAATGAAGTTTTAATTTGAAACCACGAGAGGAATGAAAAGGGTTTTTAAATAAAATGTTAAGTTTAAAAATAGAAGTTCCTAATTAAAAACACTATTCCGAAGATAAATTATACTTAAAAGTATAACATACTTTATAAATTAAAAATAAGCTATATTTAGAAAATTTATATTAAAATTAAGAAAGATTATATTTAAAAAAGAATATAATTAAAAAAATATAGAGATAAAGAGCTGTGAGTGATAAAGGAAAGAGAGTTCTTAGAACAAGGGACAATTTATATGAAATAATTAATATGGTGTAAAAAATGATGTAAAATTACTTATACATTCGACATTTTAAGAGCTAGAGAAATATATTTACCCAATAAAGTAAAATCTACATTATGGAAATTTGAATCTATTTTTATGTTCACATTTTAATACTAATTCATTCCTTTGATTCAATACTTTGCTTTGATTGTTATATTTTATTATTCTAATTTTTATTCTTGTAAACATAACTTACACCTATCTCTAAGAATATTAGAAGTATCTGCGGAACCTATAATCTTCCAATTTATCTGTGGGTTCAGACCTTTCTCCTTCAAATCCCTTTTTTCTTGTAGATCATTTTTAATATTTTATATATATTAAATGATCATAGAACACGCACACAGATAGATAGATAGATAGATAGATAGATAGATAGATAACATTATTTAGTAACTCTTATTTAAAGATAGGTTACTAAATAAACTTTCTACATTTGCTTTGATTAAAGTTTGTTTCTGGACATAAAGTGTGTAAAATTGTCCAAACCTTCCATATACCCAGAATGCTTTCGGCTATTCTATCATCTATTATAAGGGATGTTTTTTTTAAAAACTCAATATGAATAAATATGCAAGGAAAACTGAACATTTAGAATATGCGATATAATACTAAATAAAAAGCTGAATGGTACTACCATGTGAATTGTCTTTAATAAATATTTATGTACATATTAACAATAAATTCAAAAAAAAATTCACGATACTTATCTAAGACCGATTAATCGTTTCGCGATAATAATTCTCTTAATGGTTGGATAGGAATAATCTTATGTAACTCTGAGAAGCTCTAACATCGCAAAACTTTTAGTCGATCATAGATAATATCGTAAAATCTCTCTCTCGCTCCCTCTCTCTCTCTCTCTCTCTTTCTCTGTGTGTTTCTGCATATGTGTGTGTATGATAACAAATTTATTGATATTTCTTCTTGTTTTATTGCCTTAAACCTAATATCTATTATTTACCAATTCGTATCGCCCATGTTGTATTTATATCATTCGAAGACATCCCGGATAGAGTATTAGAGCATAACATGCGCTGATCCGTTCGGCTTTCTTATCTTGCATGCTGATTTATATTTATATCATATTGTTATAAAGGAATAAAGTGTCGCTGCCGACACTTGAGTTTGAACATAGATCGCTTACTTCAATAATGGCGATCCTATTATTGAAGTAAGTGTGGAAACTCAAAATGGGACGCATTAAGAGACACTTTGGAGACATCAGCAAACGATATCATCCAAAAGGAGACAAGACGAAGAAGGAGAAACGAGTGCATGTCTGATGAGATTCTCGACATGATTGAAAGGAGGCACAAAACCCTGCCAAGATACGGAACGGAGTACAGGTAATTACACAATGAAATAAGGACCAAATGCAGACAAGCTAAAGAAGAATGGCTAAACGAAAAATGTGCAGAAATAGATAGATTGATTAACACCAACAAAAGAGACATCCAAAAACAAATAAGACAACTAACAGGACAGAAGACATGCTCACCAACAGGCTGCCTAAAATCAAAGGATGGAACGCTCATATTGGAGAAGGAAAAGTTCTTCAACGCTGGAGCGAGTATATTGGATAAATCTTCCACGACAAAAGGGAACACACTGCAATACACAGAACTACCGACGGACCTGTAATTCTGAAAAGCGAAGTAAATGCCGAACTGGCCAAACTGAATAGAAAAGAGACAACTGGGCCGGACGGAATTGTAACGGAAACGCTGACAGCCTTAGATGACTTTGGCATAGACAAGATCACCGAAATGACAAATGAAATCTACAACAGCGGGGATATACCGGAAGACCTCAGCAGATCTATCTTCAAAGCTATACCTAAGAAACCAGGCGCAAACGAATGCGAACTCCACCGAACAATAAGCCTTATGAGCCACGGGGCAAAACTTATCATCCTGTTGAATAGAGAGCGCAGCAGAATCAGGCCAGACATAGGACAAAAACAGTTCGGGTTCGTTAAAGACACCGGAATATGAAAGCGATATTTATGCTCAGAATGTTATAAGAAAGAGCGATCCAGATGCAGAAGGATATGTACCTATGTTTCATAGACTACTCAAAGGCCTTCGACAAAGTACGCCACAAGTTTCTGTTGGAACTGCTCAGCAATCTTGATATATTCGGAATAGATATCAGAATAACTTAGAACTTATACTGGCAGAAAACAGAATTCATACGCATAGGGAACGAGTTCAGTGAATATAGAAATATAGAAAGGGGCGTAAGGCAAGGATGCGTCTTCTCACCGGACCTGTTCAACAGATACAGCGAGGGAATTTTGAGAGAATTAGAAACCCTATCGGGATTTAGCATTGGCGGACACAACCTTAACAACATAAGATACGCAGATGACACAGTACTGATAGCAGACACGGAAAAGTAATGACAAAATCTTCTACAGAAGGTAGCGACGTAGAGTGAGAAGAAGGGACTAAGCATAAACTACAACAAGACCGAGTCCATGGTCGTCCGTAAAAGGATGAGCCTGAAATGCGATTTAAAGGTCAGGAACGCTAGAATCAAGCAGACGCCGAAGTTTAAATACCTGGGAAGTGTCTTGCTAGAGGACGGTAAATGCGACACTGAGATCCGTAGATGTATGGTGGATGACCAAGGACTCATTCCAAAAGCTGGGCAGAATACTACAAGACAGGTGGATACCTTTGGTGACAAAGAAAAGAATACTGAACTGTTACGTGACATCTATCCTTCTTTATGGCAGCCAATGTCGGACGATTTCCTCAAAGATGAAAAAGAGACTCGAAGCGACAGAGATGTGGTTCCACGGAAAGATGCTAAGGATATCATGGCCCGAGCGTGTGAGCAACGATGAGGTCTTAGAGAGGTTGCAAACAAGGAGAATATTTATACTTAACATCAGGAAGAGGCAGGTGAAGTTTACGGGGCACATAATGAAGAAGGGGGGCCTGGAGAATCTGATACTCCCAGGTCGAATAGAAGGAAAAAGAGACAAGAGAAAGCAACGCGTGACATACCTGGCGAACTTGAGAGAATATGGTCTGGGGGTGGAATCAGGGTTAAAGAACTTGTTGAGAGCTGCAAGGGATAGAGGGAGATGGAGAGCCATGGTCGCCTACGTTCTGAAATGACACGGTACATAAACAGAAAGAAAGAAGAATCAAGTGACCATAGAGGAAACGCATATATAGGGAGTTGCATGACGTCTAGATTGATCGCATTTCTAGTCTATCGCTATTAGTATTCGGATCACTATTTCTAGTCTATCCTCTATACTATTCGGATCATCATTTCTGTTCTATCCTCTATTACTATACGGACCGCTACTCTCTACTCTATTCACTATACTATTTCTCTATTCGGATCACTATACAGATTACTATTCGAGCGAGGGTTATCGAGTAAGTACTATTAGTGCGAGTGCTATACGATGGCCTCTGACACCAGTATTGTTCAACGGCGTTACTATAGTTGTATCTGCGATTACAAAGTCTCTACTACAACGAGCATCACAAAAGTGACAAGATTTCATTGACAACACAAAACATATCAACTTCGTTACATCGTAGTTAGTGTTCTCCCGTTGCTCCCCTTAAATAATAAACTATTCCTGATTTCAAAAACGTTCCTTGGATTACAGCAGTCGTATATTCCTGAAATTTTATTTGGCGGATTTGCCAGTTGTCACACTTAAATTGTTTTATGTTTAACACTGGAAACAGCAAAGACGTAACTAATTTTTACTGAAAAACTTTTTGAACACAAGAGAATTGATGACGCAATTATAATTGCAAAAATGTATATATTGGTAGCGGACAATTTTTGTACTAAATTTACATATGCTGAAGTAATTCATGTATTTTTTCAGGAATTAGCTATCTTGTAGAAATGAGAAGTGACAGGTAGCATGCCCAAAGGCCACTTGCCATAAAATATGCCACAACTAATTATTATTTAATTCTATACGTATGGCCAAAAATATTTTTAAATAATCGTCTTCAATATCCAGTTAAACAGCATATAACTTCACACTATCAATAACATAATTCAAATAAATTCATAGGATTTACTCTTTATGAGCTGTAATAAAAGAAAGGCTTATAATTTCATCTCTTGACTGATTCATATGAGGATTCCAAAGAAAGTGGTCTCATTGTTATAAAGTTATTTCTCAAGGAATGAAATGACTGTCAAGTATAAAGTTGTCAGCAAAAAGGACAACCAAATTTATGAGCTAGTTAATGGGGATGTCAGAATGGAGATGTTACACAGAAATCCGTTGGCGCATAAAAATACCGAAAGATGTTTATCCGAAACTAAGCAAAGTATAGATACATCAAAAATAGGAGTTGAACAGTTATGTAATATCATTCTTTCTCTATGGATGTGACTGCTAGACTCTCTTCTCACATTTGAAGAAGAGACTGGAAGCAGCAGAGATATTATTGTAACGATGTTTTTTTTTACAATGTGGGTCACCCGTTACAAGGCCCGGAGGCCACTCGAGGTAGAGGGTTACGTTAGGAGCCCATTTGTGTGTATAGGTGAGGGAGGTAACGATTAACTCTAGCCTTTAATAGATTAAGATTGTAGTGATCAGAGACTTTGGGAGACAATTCCAAAGGGAAGTGGTTCACGAGAAGACGCTGTTCTTGCTTTGAAGGTTTTCCTCGGTGGGACCAGGGAATGTAGTTCATACGAGCACTTTCCATTGAAGTAGGGGTAGAGCAGCGAGAGGCTTGCCAGAAGCCGCCTTTAGGGTAGGGGTTAAACAAGTACTGGACGACGGTTTTGAGCTCTCTCAAGGCTGGAGAGTGAGGACTTGGTAGCTACTGCCAAAATATAACAAGAGTACTCCATTTTTTATTTGATCCAGCTCTTGTAAAACTAGAGGAGAGCAGGAGGGCTCAGGTACTTACCGGTGCGGTACAATGAGCCAACTATTTTATCTGCATCCTTAGCAACGGGCCGTATATATGAGTGCCAATTGAGGTCGGGTCTGGGTTTGAGGCCCAACAGTCCTTCAAGGCACGATGCTTCTCCGAGAAGACACCCGTTCATCCTGATTGGTGGTAGCTCGGTGTCAGATTGGCGATGATGGAACCTAACTAGCTTGATCCTCAAGGCATTGCTGAGAAAACAATATAGAGATCATGTGAACAACTTAGAGCTTTAAAGACTAATTGGAACTAAAATAAAACTAGCAATAAGAAAGGAACAGCTGACATTTCTAGGATAGATAATGAGGAAAGAAGGCATAAAGAATATAGTACCCTTGTGACATACTGAAGACAACGAAAGCAGGATTAAAAATGAATAACCTACGAGTTTATGTAAACGGGAAAGGTCAAATAGGTATGTTAAAATGTCAAATGTCCTTCGAGCG